TTTGGCTCATCTGCTACAAACTTGCGTAACATGTTGATCAGGGTGCCATTAAACTTTTCCACTTGGCCGTCAGTCTGCTGATGGAATGGTGTACTTGTAACTCCAGTTATGCCTAGTAACCTGTAGACTTCCTTCAAGGTCTTTGACATGAAGTTTGTACCTTGGTCTGTAAGTATTACTTCAGCAATTCCAACTCTGGAGAACAAAGTCATCAGCTCTGTAGCGGTTCTTTTAGCATCTGTGTTTCTCATCGGTACAGCTTCCGGATATCTAGTTCCGTAGTCTCCAATACATAAAATGTATCTGTTTCCTTTGGTAGAGCGTACCAGTGGGCCTATCACATCCATGGCAATTTTCCTGAATGGCTCTGTTATAACAGGCAATGGAATAAGTGGAGCTCTGTCCATGGTTTTCTTCTTGGCAATGAGTTGACATTTATCGCATAACTTGCAATTATTAGTAATGTCTTTATGAATCCCAGGCCAGAAGAATCTTTTTGTAATTCTGTTGGTTGTCTTCTGCATTCCTAAATGACCAGCCAACGGAATACTATGTGCCACATCTAGGATCTGTTTCCTGCAACCCTTCGGTATGACTATCTGTTCCAGTTGTTCATCTAAGGGAGTCTTTGATATTCTATATATCAGACCATCTTTCCTTATGAAATATGGTATTTCCCTGTTAGTATCAGTAAAATCTAGTATTTTCTTCCTCACATCCTTCAGAGTGGGATCTGTATTCTGCATTTCTTTCAGACAGTCTACATCAATTGTCCCAAGTTCTTGTTCTTTTTCTTTGGATTGAAGCTTCATTCTTTCGCTTCTTCTTTGTCTTCTGGTCTTCTTTATTTTGTCAGCCTTTCTTCTTAAAAACATTGTGTCATCAAATTTGAAAGGTAGTTCATCACCTTCAAATTTACTTGTATCAGCATCATCAATATCAGTTTCATTATCACTGTGTTGAGTTTGTGCTGCTTTAACATCATCAGAGTCATTGTCATTGTGATCAGTTTGCACTGCATCTTGTGTATCATCTTCACTATTGTCATCGTGTAGATTCATTATGTTATCTTTCTTAGCTGGTGTTAATTTCACATCAGAACACTCATCTAAGAGTTTGTCTTCATTTTCTCCTTGTAGTTGGTCTTTCCATTGTTGGCGTGTTGTTACATATGAACTATTTGTTGGTTTCTTGTAGATGTATTTATCCATCTTTTCTTTATCAAGTTGTCTTAGCACATCTTGTCCCAGAAGAACTTGTGTTGGTACTGAGTCAGAAACCACTGCATCAACATGGAACGTCTCATCACCAATGGAAAACGTCACATTGGTAGTGGGATAAGACTTGTGATCGCCATGTACACATGTCATTGTGATTTCATCATCAGATAATACTTGATCTGGTTCTACTAGGTCCTTGTGTACTATTGTCTTACAGCTTCCTGTATCAATAAGGAGTTTAACGTTCTTGTTGTTCACCAGGCCTTGTACTGTACCATCTCTACTCCTATTGTACTGAGAGAATATATGTCATTCTTAGACTTGCAGAGATATCCCTTCTTTCCTTTCTTACAATAACTAGTTTCGTGGCCAAAAATCTTGCAGTTTTCACATCTTTTAGTCGTATCTGTTCTGCATTCAGCTGCTATGTGACCCAGATTAAGGCATTTTGTACACTTATTAACTGTTTTGGCTGAGGAACAATCTGCTGAATAATGTCCAAAAGACTGGCATTTGAAACATTGGATACTTCCAAGAGGCTTCTGTTTGAAGGAATCTGCTTGATTTGTAGACTTTGTTGTATCTTTGTCCCTGTTGTTCCTGTTTCCGAACTTCTTTGGTTTGTGAACTATCTGAAGGGCATCTGTGCCTTCCTGCTTTCTAGCTTCAAGGTAATTATCAGCCAGTTTAACGACATCTTCGGAAGTTTTTGGATCATGTTCCTTTACCCACAGTTGAACATCACTTGGTAGTGTGCTGACAAGTTGTTCCTTGATGATC